CAATAGAAAAGGATATCTGTCCGTTTGTCCTTATCTGTCACTCCCATAGCTCTAAGACTATGAAACCTAGACACTTGATACTTGACCTGCACACACCTTTTTATTCAAACGTTATTTTAATTGTTAATATTAATTATTTATTTTATTCTTTGGCCAGGGTGACTTAAATTTTGCTGTTATACTGCTAAATTATATTGTTTTATATTATGTTATTTATTTATGATTGTGAGCCGCCCCGAGGCTTCGGTGCATGGGGCAGCATAGAAGTCCTCTAAAGAAAGAAATAAAATAAAATAAAATAAAATAAAATAAAATAAAATAAAATAGGAGAACACAGGGATATGTATTTTAGGCTTAGATTATTTTAAAAATCTATTAGTTTTATTTAATTTAAATCTGCCCAATGTGCCCATGTGCCTACAATACCTCTTTAGCCACTGGGGGATAACCCTAAATACAGATGGCTTTGCATTCTTTACAGTTTGAAGCCAGTGGAGATGAGCAGACAAAGAGACAGATTTGCAGGCTCTCTCACTGCTGGAAGAGTGGAACATTAGGATTCCGTATCTTGTGCAGAAGTCCCATTGACACAGGAGGCTCTCATCTCCATGAAATTGCACTCCACTAGTATAACACAACAAGACTCTCACTACCCCTTCTTCCATAGTTAAACTTCTTTAGAGAGCACCTATAAAGTTATTACTTGTTCTTTAGATTCTGATCTTGGTAGCATAACTCATAAGCCTGAGTTAAAAATCAGGAAATGTAGCATTTGTTGCCTTCATATATAATAATATCTACTGTTTATGGGGGATTTGAATGATCTCTAAAGTACAGGCTTCAACTCCTTTCAAGTCATATAAACCCTATCTTAACAATAAGCATTTTGATATCCCAAATATTTGTTTGATCTAAGTATTTAGTCCTATATTTGTCATTAGGATACTTTTCCAACCATGAGGAATTTTAGAAAACAGTAGCAAAACTATTTATCTCATTTTCTTTTTGAAATAGCAGACAAAATCAGTTTTAATATTTAAAAACTCTGAAAAGGAAAGTAAAGCAATTCAATTTCAAGGGCATGTGTTAATGAAGAAGCATGAAATGAGTGATTGAAATATTATAAATCAATGCGCCAGCTCACTGACAAATTCATGAACTCTGAAAATTAAGTTTTGGTACTTCAATTGCCAGAACCAGTTATTAAACGCTTTATCAATCAGTCCTCCAGAACCCTTATGCTTTTTATAATGCATAAATGTACAACTAGCATTAATTTAACATTTATTTTGGGGTTTAAAAGTGGTTTCAGCAAACAGTTATGATTAAGATTTTCTGAGCAGAACCCCAAAACATTTAACATCACAATCCAATATGGCTCTCCATAACCTTCTGAACTTGGATCATTACAGGTATTCCATCCAGTGCAGAAAGTACAGACTCCACACTTGTGCCTTGCAAAAGACTTAAATTTTGATTTTGGCTACCAAGTCTTCTGCCCTGGAGCATGAGCAGGGGAAGCCAAGGCACTGCCAGGATGCTACATATGCCGTCTCCTCTCCTTCTTGCCCCAAACAGCCAGAACAGTTCTTTCCACACCAACTTTAAAGGCACTCCAACTTGAGAGTCTCAACTCTGAAGCACGTTTCCAGGGACAATGTGGGACTCCAAAACCTTTTAAGGTTGTCTAAACAGCATCCACTGGTCACAGGATTGTGCCTTGAGAGTGCCATCCTTATTAAGATTTTTATTATTGTACTGAAGGAATATGCAATGGATTTTATTATCCTTCATAAAATGAAGGAAACCAGAAACAGTAATACAAATGTACTGGGGAAGAGTATTGATAAAAGTATGTAAGCAATTCTTGATTTAGAATGGTGCTGTCCTTCTTGTACTGCATTTTGAAGATTCCTGGATAATGATGTGGTTTTCACACAGAGATCTGACAATAAGTTCTATCTGAAAGCGAAGGAAAGGTATTCCCTTTGGAGAACGCACATTGGTCTGCAGATTTATATTTGACAATTTTGCTTAGCATCCTTATAAATTATTTAGAAACCTTACACATATGTTAATAGTAAGTCTCAAAGAAGCTCCATATAGTAACTGTGATTCTAAGAAAGTTAGGGTTAAGTCCTAGCACAATAAATTATGAAGGCTCCCCATCCCACCCCCAATGCAAAGCAGTCTACAGATGAAGCAAATAGATTCATCTTGCTAAGCATTCTTGTGGATTATTTAGAAATCTTTCACATTTGTCATCTGGCAACAGACATTACCAGAATACTAGACAGCAACGCAAGGCACAGCTCAATGCAGTACTATACATTGGTTCCTTGCCAAGAACAGAAAATTTATGCCAAGTTCTCCTAAAGCATTGTTATACACTCTATCACATGGAGGAATAATCAAGATTTCCATTTTGCTTTTTTTTTTTTTTTTTTGCTAATTTGCATTATTGCATGCTTTTTGGAGGGGAAGGAGGGCTTGCATATTTATCCTTCCTCTATTTATCTTTTAATTGTCTTTGTATTCCACCCGTTTTCTTACAAGAAGCCCAAGGTGACTTCCATAATCCTCTTATCCATTTTATCCTCATAACAACCCTGAGCTTGTGATGGTTTTTGGAAAATGCTTTCCTTAGAAAAATGTACATATTAAAAATGAGCTTTTTGAAACAAAAGATAGGTTTTCACACTTTAGTCAATGGGGGGGGGAATACCCTTTTTTTTTAATGTGCAGCTAAAGGTTCATTTTTGGGAATGGCAAAGAGACAGAGTGCCAATGTGGAACTCAGAAACCCTGAGAAACTGGGGGCCACTGGTTGTCCAACCTCCAACTGCACAACATCGTTAAATTCTGTGCTTCACCACGACTTCATATCATTGGCTGCTACTGCTGGGGCGGGTGCAGGAAGGAAAGCACCACTTGACCTCATCATACATTTCCATTAATCACAGATGATGCAAAAGATGGAGGGGTAAACATATCTGGGGAAGGACAACAGGGAGTAGGCTATCTTCCTTCAAGCTGCGTTCACTAGAATTAACTAGGAGCTCAGCACTGCATCTTCGCTGACACAGCCACATGGGGCAGGTACAGATAAAAAACAGAGAGAGGGAGGCTCACAGAAAAGAAAAATCAAGACTGCTGTTCCAAAGAAAAGAGATATAAATAATTGAGAAGTCCTAAAGACGTGGTGGACACCAACGTCAAACGATAATTCAGTCTGTTACCATGACAGCTCAAAGACATGCACATTCAAGGCACTGCCCTGTTGGGATGAGAGGAGGAAGTATAAATTTCCAGACTGCAGAATATTTGAGAATTAAGAGTTATTATCATTATAGAATAATCGAGAAGATCATGGATCTCTCTCAAATCCAATAACCGAGTGGATTTCTCATGGACCATGAAGATATTGTGAAAACCAAAAGGGTAGGAGCTGGAACACTACAACTCCCCAATGCAAGAGTTGAGGACTAGCTTGAGCAAAAACTGATCAACTATGCCCAACGCCCACATGGTCAACATGTATCACACGCACTGATAAATCACAGCAGGTATATCTGGGTTGATTATGCAAGACACTAAGACTAAGTCAGATGCAGAAATGTCCCTTCACTAGCCCCCACCACCAACCAACGCTACCCTATCTACTGTGGCTGCCTGTAGGCAATACATTATACCCATTGTCCAAGTATACATTGTCCATGAAAAGTGTACAAATGGCCATGAGCAATAGAGAGAGGGAACTGCAAAGACAGTAACATGCTACTGGGAGCAGGAGGGGACAACAATGACACAAACAGCAATACTAGAAAATACAATAAGCTTAGCTCAATAGCCAGAAAATAAGTCATTTAGGAGAAGACAACTGTTAAGGATGCAGTTCTTGTGGCACTCAGAAACCAGGGGGTGAGGGAAGGCAGGAGTGCTGTTCCAAGGGAAGAAGGTAAAAATGGAACCTAAAAGTCTTGGCTTTTCAGGACTCTGACGGAGGCTCTGTGTGAGTGTAGAACCCATATACGATGTGATACACAGAGATCACTTTAGTACTTTTCTTTAGGTTCTTTGAAAGACAGATGAATTATTTGTTCTTATATCTCTGACAAACAGGGCACAATCCTGATAAAGGGTTTTAGTTGCTATATCAACATAAATGCTATAAATAACAATAATGTGAAGGAGGAGAATGATCAATGGGCAGTTACTAGAGAGAATGGCATTTATAACTATTGTCTGCTGTCAGGTTCTCACACTTTAAGCTCTGCTTTATGACAAATAAATGGTCCAGAAACAATCCTCACATTTTTATAGCCTACAATTTAAGGATTTTTTTAAAATGGCCAAATAGGGAGTTTAAAGCACTAGCACTAAAACTTTACATTACAGCTAAAATCAATCATATTATAGCCATGACATTTTTGAATAATTCATTACAATTTCTGATAGTTCTCAATCACTTCTATGCAAAATGCAGGCATTTAAATAAAACGTAATATGCCAAAGACTTCACTAATGCAGGTCTCTCTAATCCTCATAGTTGTTGGCAGAGTACCCTCCACATTCTTTGCTTCAAATATTGACTTCCCCTCTACTATGGCTCTCATGTAAACAAATTTTGTTATCAAAATTTGGCTGTTAGCCAGACATCCTGAGTGGTTTTGTTGTTCTGCATATTTGCTTCTACACTACTCTGATAACATTTGGAAGTGGAACATCACACAAAAGTGGCAATGTCGTCTTCAATAACGACCACATGTGAGAGAGAAAAAAACCAGTTTGCTGTGCCTTCTCCTCCTACCTGACCTCCTTGGTTCATACTTCTAAGCAGCATAGGAGGTGTTCTGAGTGCTATAGAATATTTAAACAAGAAAGGAAATTAACCAAAATGTTTCATTATGCAATATTCAGGCATACTGAAACTTTATGCACATGTTAAACTTTCACAGCTTTTCTCTAATCTTCAAGAAACAGGAACAATCTTGACTTACCCTGTGTTTTTCTTTAATTTTCTTTCTGTATTCTTCTTTGTCAAATTTGTCCTCTGCCTGCAGTCTCTCTTTTGCTTTGTCTAGATTGATTCCATTAAAACTGTCATCATCTTCTGCATTGTCATGAACATATTTTTGTGCTGGTGGCCACTGCTGAATTAACTAAATCACAGGAAAAAAACATGACAGCATTATTACATTACCTCTACTTTCAAAGTCCAGAGGCAAGTGTGAATCTTTATGAAGTCAGTATCATTTATATACAAGAGACAAGCTTTGGGGTACCCTAAGACTTGGAGAAACACACAGAAATATTTAGGGAGGAAACCTCTGATCAGGGAAGAATGCCAAACAGCCCAATAAGGACTAGATATATTGAGTAGGACTGAAGGACTTGTCACAGGAGAATGGAATGAAAGGAGAACGGAATGGAGTATTCTGGAGAACGGCATCTCTATTTTAAAAGACCGACACAGATGACAGAAAGGCCTCTGCTTCAGCCCTGGAGAGGCCTTGCCAGTCAGAATAGAGCATACTGGGTTAGAGCAGGGTTGGCCCATCTCAAAAGGCAACTTGTGTTGTAAAATTATTTGCTGGTTTGGTCCAGAAAAATAAGAAGGATACACAAAATAAAATAGTCTTGTACTGGGGCAACTCTGGTGGCTCAAAGGTCAATTTGCAGAGCGCTCGTGAGAATCCTTCTTGTTATGTATAGACAGAGACAGATTCTCTCAAACATACCTGGTGTTTTATCACACAGACCGTGCACTAGATTTGTTCAGAGGTGATCTAGGAAATTGGATGGCAAGGCAATTCGATGCCAGCCTACACCAGAGCAAATGAGTTGTTCAGATTGAGTCATCAGGTCTGCAGGACCAGAAGGACCCCAACTGGCTTGTGCTGTCATTTAATCCCACAGTCCTAGTAGCTGCATTGTCACCCTCTCCCCACCTGCGGTAGGCGTGTATTGTGCTTGGGTACCATGCCTAAAGCCTCCAGTTTGACAGGTAGGTGCCTGGTATTATCACCTGAAAAGGACAGTTTAAAAAAGCATGTGAAGATGACATCTGTGTGGTTCAAACATTATTTTAATCAGGAGGTGATGATTCAGCACAAGTTGATTGCCCAGTCCAAAGCTGCCAGGAGTCTTCAGCCTTTTCAGGTCAGTGGGGCTATTCGCAAGTCTGGTAGAGAGTTGAGATCAATCTCATAAAATGTCCCCCATGGATGCCTTATCCATTCATAAAATGGCTGCCATGGTGAGCATAGCTTAGCACAAAACACACATTTTCTAAAAGGAAAACTGGTATGGGTAAAAGAAAAAGAATTTGCCCAGGACTTAGAAGATTAAGGTGGAATCTGGGGTCCAAGACACAAAAATACTCCATTGAGCCCAAATAAAAATGGGACTGGAGCTGACTATAGGCACAATGTGTCCATGTGTCCTGTGCTGGAGACTGTACATGTGATATATTCGAAGTTAGGTGGAAGAAGAGAGTGCAGTAGAGGATTGCACTATGGAAGAGTGCAAAAGTTAAAATGGCAGGGCAGGTAGATGAACCAGATACTATAATGGAAACAGGAGATTTTACTAGGTTATGAGAAGCAAACCCCTTCAAAAATGCAGCATAGAGAAAGGGGAAACGGAAGAGGCAGTGGATGTGGCGAATGTGAAATCTGGTATGCAAAAAATGCAAAGCACTAAGAGATAATACTCCTCATAAAATGCTTATTAAACAGGCTAAAATTTATAAAGTGTATTTATAAGTGCTTTATAAAGTGTATTTTAAGCATGTGTTTCTTCAAACTATATCACATGCACAATGACCTAAATATGCCTTTAATTTTTTATTTCATTTTACTTTCCCTATGAGATTAGCTCAGAATATCAACAGAACCCATACTGCTATTTCATATTCTGAATGCAGCATTGCATTCAACATGATAATTCCTCACCAAATTCATAAAAACAAGCCTTAATACATCGACCCAATTATAGAAACTGACAGTTCAGCATCCAGGGCTGCCACAGAAACACATTACAGAGCTTCCTTTAAAAAAGAAAGAAAGGAAAGGAAAGGAAAGGAAAGGAAAGGAAAGGAAAGGAAAGGAAAAGATGAAATGAAATGAAAAAATAAAGGAACAGAAAGGAATAGAAAGCAAAGAATGAAATTGTAGTAACCTTCTACCAAGCTACTACAATAACTATTTATTTGATTACTTCTCCAACTTTTTCTCAAACAATGGCTTTCCAGGTGGCTTATATAGGCAATTAGAATTAATTTAAATAGTACAATGAATTAAATACAATAAAATGTAATAATTTGCAGATTTTTTTAAAAAAAATTAAAGATAGCACCCATTCAAGCTAAAACCCTTAGCAGTGTCTCCTTTCGGTAGCGGGAGAGCAGACAGGGAGCAACCCTAGCATCCTGTGGCAGGGAGTTCCAGAGTCTGGGAGCAGCCACTAAAAAGCCCTTTCATTGGCCACCACCAAATGTGTCTCTGAAGGTGATGGTCTCAAAAGAAGGGCCTTTCCATAAGTACTTAAGAATATGGAAGAACACAGCTTTGCAGGAATCCTGGTCCCGAACAGGATATGTCTTTATAGGTCATGACTAGCACTTTGAATTCTCCCTGGAAATAGACTGATAGATAGCAAAGCTGTCTATAACAATGAAACTAGAAAGTTCCTCCATCCCCGGATCACTTTTTACATAGCAAACAGGTCCAAAGTGTGCCTTGCTGAATGAGTTAAATCAGATACTAATTGGGACAGACCCTTGGTTGCTATGAAGGCCATGAATTTCTGAGCCATTCCAGTATGTTGCAGTCCCTCAGTATAAGTAAACTATTTCTATTTGATCTTACCTCCCCATCTTCAGTAAATACAATTTTTGTGTTTACTTTAAATTTTCTCTTCAAAATTTTTTTAGCTTCTTTTGTTTTAGTTATTTTCTTCTTCGTCTTTGCATTTGATGTACTCTATAAAAGAAAAACAGATGGGAGGCCACATGATTAAATTCTAGGACAATGATACACAACATACACCACTACAACCACCTGCAAAAAGGCACATCTATTCTGAAAAATAATATATTAAACTAAGTAAGTGTTGAAAGGTTGCTAGTCCTCCAGATTTTTGAAACAGGCTTTAAAACTCAGACTATGTCACAGTATAGCATGATTTCCAAGCCATAGGTTGTTGTTAGGTTATTCAAGGGTTGTTTTCCACTCTAACAAGTCAAGTCGCCTGGGTTTGGACAACATGACAAGCCAAACTGTGATTATGACAAGACCATGATAATATAAATATCATCTGACTTACTTCTGCAAAATAGGACTATAGTCTTCCCAGTCAGTTATTTTATTGAAAAAGAATTATGAGACCAAAACCCACCCTCAACAGAAAGCAATCTAGTCATTGCAGATTGGTAAAGGAGAAATATATATCCAGTTGCAATTTCTGGATACATCTATCCAGGTTTTAAGTACAAACAGCAACTTCCTCTCATTTACTGTAAGCATTTTGTCTTATTAACTCATTTTGTAATTGGATACGTTTTAATAAAAAGATGGATGGATGTATTGGATAAACGGATGGGCAGGCAGGCAGATGTGAGCATGATGTCAAGTCAGCTGACAACAGCAGCAACAATAAATATTAAATACATAAGGGGGACCCTGAACAGGAGAGAGAAGAATGTTCAGGGTACCAGATACCTTGCAAAGAATGCCTCCTGCTCAGGGTCTAGCTGGCCATTCCTTCTCCTCCAGGGTACTATCAGATGTAATATATTCTTCAAGGGAATTCCATTCCACTCCCTGCTTATTTCCAACTGTCCCAGTAAAACAAAATGTGGACTCCTAGACAGATTTGCTCATTTAATTTGGGCTTGGAAAGAGAATGTTGCAACTGGACTACTTTAGTGTTTCTTACAATTCAGAAAAGGTTCCAAGATACGAAAAGGTAAATAGTACTGTAGATTCCCTACTTGGCTTTGAGATTTCATTTTCATATATGGAGTAAACTAAAATTATTTCATTACTCAGTTAAACCCATAAGGTTGACAAGCACTAAAAATATTTAATATAGAACTCCTATAAATATTAGCTGCCTGTTACAAAATGTGCAGAAAGAGAATACATTCTTATTTATATCATATTTTCCAATATGCTTTAGTAGTTTCCAACTTTATTAGCTCATTCCAAAGCTATTTATAAGAGCTACCTTGTTCCAGACATCATTAATACCATTCAAACTGCAATTATTAAAACAGATTACCTTCTAAGAACAAATTTTGAAATGCAGACAAAATAAGGCTTAGAGGCAACATAATAAATGTCTAAATTAATAAATGCTAACAAATGTCTTTATTAGCCACACTAATGCCTTCAAGGTTCTAATATAAGTTCATTAATTTTGGTTCTAAATTATAACCAGCATAGGCTCAGAGCAGATAAAAGCATATAATAAAAAAATTCCAATAAAAACAACCGTGAACTATTCCATTTTTCTGCCCTGGATTGATGCCCACCCATGAAAAAAGACCTACATTGTCTTTAGAAGATATCCAGACTCAGTTTTTAATGAAGTATGTGAGAGAAAGAATGTCTTGGATCCTTCTCAAATGCCATATTTACATCATAGGTGGGCAATGTCCAGGGTTCTAGGTGCCAATTCCCCCACACCCAGAAACCTAACCAATCAAATTTGCTGCTGGAAATCAGTAGCACAGCAATGACAAAAGGGACACATTTTCCCCTTAAGGTACATAGAGAGCAGGTGCCTTGTTTTAAAACAGAACTGCACTTTCCTGATATTTCTCAGAGTGCAATTTTGCTTTAAAACTAAGATGAAGCTCCTTATGAGCCTCATTTTAAAAAGAAAATTGTAGCTCTTTTGCTTCCATGCTGCCAAATTTTGGCAGCAGATATGCAGACTCCAGGGTGTACTGCTGAAGCCCACAAAATACTCAGGGGCAACCTCAAGGCACAGGCTGTGTGTTGCCTACCCTGGTTTACAGGAAGGCCGTAACGCAAAACTTAAGTATAGATGATGACACCTTTCGATGTATATGTGTGTTTTTTGTAACAGGGCACAGCTTCCCGTACATCCAGAAAGCAGAGAAAATGTAAAATGAACGTATGTGCTCACATCAGATTCATTTCAATTTTTACATGTAAGTGCCTTTGGAGGAAAGTTTTATAACCTGTGAAGCAGCCATATGAGGACATACTCCAAGTTACACACAGAAGCTGCCATAAAGGCAACCGCCTTCCTATTGATGGTTCCACCATCACATGGTAACTGAAATGTAGAAATCAGCTTGCTGCAGAGCTCACATACCACAGGGAAAGTGCCTGCTGTTAATTTTACAAGGTAGCACTAATCATAAAATGCATTCATAACAATGCAAAGAGAATGGAGGAGATGAAGCAACAGCAAGTTTATCTCAGGTATTTTACAATCTAAGTCCTTTTGCTGAAATCGTTCAATCATGGCCTCACACGCTCACACCCCTCTGGATGAGAACAATTCAACTAAACAGCAAGAGAACAGCGCTTCTTATTTCTTATTCTACTGCTCACACTGTAGTAAGCAAGAAATGGGTATTGCTCCTGCATTTCCACAAAGCTATCCACCCAAAATAAAGTGGGGAAGGGAAGAAATGAAGGCATGAATATACATTCCCTTACAGGCTTTAATGAAAATTACATAGTCAATCATATCTTGCCCTGTGGAATCCAATTTTTAACCTGCCACTTTCAATAACTACCTCTAACATTAGGAGAACAGGCAGCTGGAGGCAATTCAGAAAGAAGTAAAAAGCTTGAACCTGATGCATGATTTCGTTCTGTATTGTGTCAGGGCTTCCACAGTGATAATGCTGATTCCATTCTGTGAAAGAAACTCTGTTCCATTCTTTTTAAAAGTCTTTAATTTTTTCAAACCAAAAGGAAAATAAAAAGAACATAATAGATATTGCTTATTGAAATTCAGCTTCTTTAGGCTCACAAATTTAAATTTCATGAAATTTGTCAGGTACCTGGGGCAGCAAGGGGCACCTTGGGCAAACAGTGCAGTAAATAAAGTATGATTTTTATGTGATCTATGTAATGCTAAAAGAATTATGAATAGTTCCATTACTTAACTGCTATAAAATGAACACAGTGTAAAAAAATAATAGGCAACCATTTAGACCTCTGGACATATTTAGAAATTTGAGCACAACTATAAAATAGCTGCTATAGGTGAGCACAAGGACAAGAGGGATTTCATGGGAACTTAAGATGTCAGAAGCTCCCTCCTCCCTAGCGGCTAGAAAAATATAAACTTAAGTTTCTATTAAAACCGAGAGTGAGGTGTCTCATCAGATGCCATGGAAAGTGTTTAGGGGCACTACTTTGCCTACCCTTGTGTAAGGATTTAACAAGCTTTGTTCAGTTCCACAAGAAAGGCCTTTTATATAGATAATTGTTACTTTTTTACACCTGGGAAACCGAGCATTTGAGCAGGGGTGTAGGCCTAGGAGCAGGTCTAATCTTTTTAAGCTTCTCCTGGGGCACTCTGCATCATGGGCCAATGCAGATATAACATCGCCCTGCTTCCACAGTGAGAAACCAGGGTGCCTCCCTTCCCCTCTTTCCCTTGGAGCTCAAACCATAGCTTGCAAAGCCACTCCTAACCATGGGTGCAATTTCTGCTTTGGAACTAACCACAGCTAATAAACCCATTTGCACATATGGCATTGCTGCACTGCAGCAAGGTCTCAACACAGAAAGTAGAAATGAAATCATGTGCAAGAGAGGAGAGAGAGAAGGAATAATCCTGAAATGTTCTGTTTGCCTAGCTTTAGCTAAGAGATCAGGCACTGTCCTTGTACAATGTGCCTCCATTTCAGAGACATGTTTATTAATTATTAATTATTAAATTTATATTCCACCGTATTAGCCCAAGGATTCCCTAAGCGGATTACAATAAATATTGTGATTGGCCTTAAATGGTTATTGAGAGATTTTAATTTAATTTCTATCTTCTCCCTCTTTTGAAAATAGGCATGGACAGACTAGATTCTTTTGCAACTCAAGATCTAAATATTCTTCTTAACTGCGAACACTGTTTCATTCGTATCTCAAAGTAGTATCAGCATAGATGCAATCTCACTATTTGCAGTTTATAAAGTTTAACTTCTGCCTGATGAACCACTTTCTATAAAAATACAGTCCAATATCATCTCCCACTAATGCAACTATATAGCAGTTTGTTATTTAGCAATGTAAACAAAATGAAGTTAGTAAAAACAGCATATCTAAAACCATACTGTGCATAGCACTTGTTTACAACTAAGCCTTATCTAGGAAGGCTGAGCAAAAATAACAAACAGCATTTCTAGGAAATCCAAGATATTTTTGAATGATATCTTTCTTTATACTCTTTTCAGCACCAGGCAAAGACCTTCCTTTTTAAAAAGCATTTAATAGTTGACGCCGCTAAACCTTCATTTTGTATTTTTATCTGCATTTTATTAGTACTGTATTTTTAATTGTTGTTAGTTTTATTGTGGTTTCTTATCTTATGATTGTGAGCTGCCAAGAGGTGCTGTGGCCCAATTAAGTGGCATATAAATGTTAAAATAAAGTAAAATAACAAACCTTTGCGGCCATAAATCAAACAGGTGCCTGATGGAGAATTCTACAAAAGCTAAATTTCTGTACCTAAGGATGCTGAAAATGCACCATTTTCATGGGAGTTCTATTTAACACAAGGAGACTGTGTGCATGGCTGAGTATGCCAAGTATGCCCCCTCCTATGGTGGGCCACATCTCTCTTTTATAAAGGACAGGCTTCTGTTTGAAGGGTTGCCAGGAAACTGTCCTCTGGTTGGAAAGTGTTTGCTATTTGAAGATCTGTGCAGTCCAAGCCTGGTTTAAAAATAAAGGCCCATCGGAAGGAAGGCAGGCAGGCAGGCAGGCAGGCAGGC